TCGCCCACAACCCCAAGCGCCACAACTCGGCCTCTGTGGAAAACGTCTCTCTCAGGAAAAGCAGTGAAGGCAGTGGCGTCCTCGGCGGGGTCCTCGGAGGAGACGACGAGCCACTCACATCCCCCCGACACTCGCAGCTGGCCCCCGCCACGCCCCTGACGCCACAGTCTAGGCCATGGACTGCTGGTCAGCCCGGGGGCCTGCCTGGCTGCTCGGGGGGCAGCGGCTCCCCCATGCGCAGAGAGGCCTCTGCGGGTTTTCCAAAAGGCCTCAACTACATCGCCATCAACGTGAGGGAGGAGACCGGGCTGTCCCCACAGATGCCACACCCGCAGCATCTGCAGCCAGGGGACAAGAGCTCTTGGGGCCGGACCCGTAGCCTCGGGGGTCTCCTCAGCACCGTAGGGGGCAGCGGCACCAGTGGGGCTTGTGGGGGCCCGGGTCCCGCCGCGCTACCCCCCACCAACACCTATGCCAGCCTCGACTTCCTGTCCCATCACCTGAAGGAAGCCACGACTGTGAAAGGTGAGGCTGCCTGACCTTCAGACTCGGGCCAGCAGGGGGCGGTGGGCAGCCCTGTCCCTGTAGGTTCTGTGATCCAGTTTCGAGCCTGCTGGCTCATGCTTGTCCCTGTGGGCGCCGCATACCCATTTGCCCACCTGTGTCTTGCATCCCTGTCCCTTTTCTTCCTGTCAGCAGGATGGGTCACCCCATCCTCAGGTGTCCAGGGGTGGAGGGACTTGCTGTGCGGCTGGCGGTGGCCTGGGGGCTTGGCTTATGTAGTGTCTGCCCATAGGTGGGCTGTGGGAGCCACCCTGCTGCGTGGGTGGGCTGTGTGGGTGGTGGTACTTGCAGGATGTGCTGGGTGCTGACGAAGGGTTTCAGAGATGCCGATCGAGGGGCTGGGTGTGTCCACCATCATCAGAGTAGTTTGAAGCTGTTCGGTTGTGTGTGTTTGTTTTTTGGTACCAGGGTTCAACCTTGGGACTTTGCACTTGCAAAGCAGGCGGCAGAACCACTAAGCTAAATCCCTGGCCCAGTTTGAAGTTCCCTGAATTCAGGCTCTTTGTCTTTGTTCTCAGGACTGTTCGCTCCTGAGATTCCAAGTTAGAGCTCTAGGGCTGAGTGCTGCTACTGCGGTGTATTGAGGAAAAGGGATTTCCTTTCTTACTAGAACTAGACCACAGGGTGCACAGTCACAGGGAGTCATGGGTGGTGCAGCTCGGTATATCTTGGTGATGTGGCTCCTTGTCGTTGACCCCCAGCTGAGGGTCCCTTGGCTGGGAGTTACCTTGAACGCTGCAGCATGGCTAGTGTGCTGGGAGCTGAAGGGTTAGCTCCCTGTTGGAGGCTCTGGCTGGGTGGGAAACACAGGAGTTGGGTGGGAAATGCGCGTGCGCACACAGACACACACAGGCTTGGCGTGTCCACATGGACGCGGGCCAGTGTGAGCATGAAGAGCTACCTTTCTCCCAGATCTGAGGGCAGTGGGAAAAACAGCCTTCGAGCTGACACCTCTGCCTGCTCTTTGTGGAGGGCTGGGGCGGGCTGGGGAGTACCCGTTGCCTTTCTGAGTCCTGGGTGACAGAAGCCCTTGTGGGCTCATGAGAATTCTGAACCGCGAGGCTGAGCTTGTTTGGACACCTTATTTAGCTGGTCTGGGATAAGATTTCCCAGCAGTATACAGCTCCTTTCAGCCCGCAGGATTCGTGATTCTGAAATCCAAACAGTTTGTGTGTTCCTGAGTTGCTGAGCAAAGATAAGGGTCGTTTTGGTTGCTGTTTTTGCTAAGTGTGTGGGTACCAGGGTAAACACCCTTCAAAAAAGGAAAAGGGCTATTTTAAAAAAGTAGATAACTGCCAAAACCACATGTTAAAAAAAAAGACACATCGGGTTTCTAGTAAATGTGCTAGAGCAGAGGGAGGATTGGGAGAGGCGGGTGCCATGTTGTTTGCGGTAGCCCCTCGTATGCTAGAGGAGAGAGAAGAGGGAGAGGCGGGTGCCATGTTGTTTGCGGTAGCCCCTCGTGCTGTCCCCAGAACTAGAAACTCGCGGGCGACACACACTGCTGTGCAACTTGGGCACACGGGTAGGGATCTGTGCAGTGCCCCCAGATTAAAAATTCACAGGAGATAATGTCTTTTGGGAGGACAAGTTATGGAAGTCAGACTTGAGAAGCGTTTCTTTGAAGATGAAATAGAGCTGCATTTCCTTGCAGCCTCCAGCTCTGCCCCAGCTTTTAGAAGTGGTCTGGGCTTCCTAATGGAGTGACCAGCCCTCGCACAGGAAGCCTCCTTAGAGGGGAGGCAGTGACTTGGTGACCAACATGGAGCTGGCATTTGCATAAGTGGTAGCAGCTCCCGCCCTGGGGTTCACAGAGGAGTGGGGGTGGGGCCCTGACACCAGAGCCTTCCAGAGCCGGCAGCGGCCACCGTGGACCCAGCCGCTGGGGCTTTGTTGTCGGGACTGCAAGCACGTGGAATTCACTGCGTTTCAAAACTGCTTTTTAAAATTAACTTCGTGTATTTCTTTTGCATTCCAGTTGCAGACTGGCATGTTCCTTAGGGTTATGGATCGTTTATTCCCCTAAAAGGACGTATTTTGGTTTCCCTCCCTTTATTCTAAAACTGGTTTTACTCATCTGTGAAACACAGATAAGAATTACTGCAAAAAGCATCTCTGTGTTTCAATTCTGTTCGATAAAAAGGACCATCCATTCGTGTCTTGAAGTTAGAGGGTGTGAAGTGTGAGATGCTTCTGAAGGAGAAGTGGAATCGAGTCCGGTCTCGGAAATGTTGCCCTTTGAAGTCTGAAGGAATTCACGGTCTCCAGAAGCCAGGCAGGCTCCTGTCTGCCGCAGCCCCTCCTTGCCGGAAGACCGCGGTGCCGCTGGTAGCGCACGGTCTTTCGTGAATGAAAGTCACGTGTGCCCTGCTTCCTTCCCTGAAAGAGAAACCTCACAGAAATAGTGCCTCGCAGCAGGAAGGAAGCAAGCGGCTGCGCGTCTAGTGTGGAGTGGGGAGGCCGGGTTTCCGGTGTCACCGTGGACCGCAGGCGGCCCCGGGCCCTGGGTCACACTTCCTGTCTGTGAAATGGGCTGACGCTGTCCTTTCCTTGCTGGGCCCAAAGGAGGTCAGAAGCCTCAGTGGGCTGATTTAAGCTCTTCAGGGAGGTGCTGGGAGATGTGGCAATGCTGCCCCTCCTCCGAAACCAGGACTGTGCAGGAAGGACCGTAGCAAGCTCAGAACCCGCTTCATCTTAAGCAAGGCTCACTTTCACTGCTGCACTGCTAGCTGCGTCCGTCCCAGTCTCCCAAAAACATTGTCTTTCTCTTTATTTAATTTCAGACTCTGTCCCAGGGCTGGGGTGTCCCCTGCCAGAGGCTCTGGGTTCAATCTCAGCACCAAAACAAAACAGACCAAAGGAGATCTGTTCATAGAAAATTACCAGAGCAGCAAAGGAGTGTTTGAAATTACATAGGAGAACAGCCATTAAGGAAAGTGGCGTCCGGATTCCTGGCCTGTATTAAAAGTGCACTTTGATCCCGTTTATGATTTGTTTATGTATTCAGAGAGCTCCACAAGCTGAGAATGTGTAACTAGGATATGCATTTTTAAAAGTTGGCTCTCAGTACAGGAAGCACTACCAGGGCAGCAGACTTTTTTAAACTTTCAGTTGTTTATTCCCACACTGTGCCAGACTGGGACTACATGCTTTTGGGGAGTTTCCCTGGGGCGCCCTTCTGCTGTTCTGATGCATGGCCCTTTGCTGTTGGGTGGTCTGTAGGAGGAGCGAGATGTTTCCTCCACCTCCAGAGGGGAATTATAGTAGAGCTCAATCTCCCCTAGCAGGATCAGTATTCAGATGAAGGTCTTTTTCTGAAGTGAAGAACTTTGGAGAAGTTTTGGTAGCAGCATGAACATAATGGGCTTTCTGTTAAGTTTCCCACTCATGCGTTTTCTGTAGAAGCTAAGTGCTAAGAGCTGGGTAACTTTTGCTATCAGATTTGGGAAGTGGGAGCTTTTCTGTTTTGCTTTGTTGTGTTGGGGCAGCACAGCACTGAGTGTTCCCGTCGGGGAGAGTGTGACTTCACCCTCTCACCTGGGCTGCCGGGCCGCGCGGGGAAGGCCCTGGATGGGGCAGCTGGGGTCTACCCCAGGTCCCTTCCTGGGGGACTGTGATTGGGGGCGTTGGTGTAGGCGCGGGCACAGGGCATCTCCCCTCACGAGAAGCAAGGTGTCTGAACACTGGCGCTGTAACGAGCGAAACAAAATGTCACGGTTTTGTCCGGTCATGGGCTTTGAGGAGGCAGCCTCGTCCATTTAGGGTTCACTGGTGATATGAAGAGGCTTTAGTGTGTTCTCGAAGGCTGCAGCAAGGACTTGGAAGCTCGGGGGAGATGAGTGTCGACAGTGCAGTGGTGGCCTTCTTCTGGTGAGAACTGGCGGTGAGGTCTTTGTTCGAGGAGCAGGAAACCAGCTATCTGCTGCCTTTCTGGAGAGCGGTGGACGTAGGCGAAGCGAGCCCTGAAAGATGAGGCAGTATAGCTGGAGAGAGTTGGGAGTGACGTGCACCAGGAATGCCAGATACTCCTGCAGTTTGAGTCTTAATTGACTCATTCTGTCAGAAGGCTGAAATAGAACTGGATTCAAACTACAAGCTATGTGTCTGCAAACGGTAGTGTTTTATAATGTTAATGGTTGTTGCCAATTTAGCAGCACTGATGGTTGGTTTCTCCGGTCAGACTAGAAAAGCGGTCAGTTTGCATAGAATCACACCTGCTTGTCCAGCGAGGTGGTTGGAGGCACCGGCAAATGTATTTTGAAACTTTGCTGTGTGTTTTCTTCTGCTTTTACTGAACGTTGGGATAATTTGCCAAATACGTTGATCCACAATATGCGTTTAAGGATAAATGAGCACATCCATGGTGCTTTTAATGCTTATTTTAGAGTCTCAGGTTTTCCAGGCACACACACTCACATACATTCACACAGACGCGGAGCTCTGCAGGATGGTGTGAGTGGTGGCCCAAGAGGCATGACTTTTTCTTTATAACTCAAACTCAGCTGCTGGCGATGTGTTTCCTGCCCACATTTAAGCTCACTCGGGTACTTAGCAGGGTGGTGGCCTAACTCCTGTCCCTTTATCACTGTTACCTTAGTATGTGGAATTGGTGCTAATCTCGCATGGATTATTATGGTATAGGATACGGTTTCGGATTTTTTAAACCATGAAAGGAGGTATCGTGATGCAGCTCACTACAGGACGTGATTTTAGTCGCCACCTTGGACTCCATGAACTTACGCTAAGGCAGACCTGTGTGTTTCTGTGGCATTAATGCACAGCCCCTACTCACAGGCCACCTTCTGCCATGAAAGTTGGTGGGCAGTGATGATTCTGAAAGCACGCGTTGAAGTTGGGTGAAATGAAAACGACCAGTATTGAAGGGCAGTAGCGTGCGGCACAGAGGCCGGGTGGCACCTCCTTGGCTTCGCTGTGCTGAGACGTCCGTGTGTGTAGCCTTT